TGTCAGTCAGTGGGTCATCTACCAGGTCTCCTGGGTCTGCACTAGTGGGAAGCCAGAACCAAGAGCCAGAGCTGGGGATTAAATCCAGACACTGGGATGTGCCGGCATCTCCTAGCGTAAACGCTCTTTCTCAAAGGAAACTTTCTGCCTAAAAAAAAAAAACAAAAATTGTGGAGGAGGGGACAGTTGTTATGGCATGGTGGTTTAAGCAATCTCTTGAGATGCCCACACCCCCGCTGTGGGAAAGCTGATCCAGCTTCCTGCTAATGCATTCTGGGAAACAGCAAATGATGGTTCCAGTAACTGGGGCCCCACCACCCACAGGCAAGTCCTAGATGGTGTCACAGTTTCCTGGCTCAGGTACTGTGAGTATTTCAGGGAGTGAACCAGCAAATGTAAGATCTCCCTTCCCCTATAAAGCAGATAAAAATGTAAATAAATAAATAAATAGCAAAACTTTTTTAAAAATTCTCAAATTATGAATTTTCTTTTTTTTCTTTAAAATCAGATATTTAATCATTCATTTAATAAATATTTATTTGCATGCTATTCTTGTTGCTTTGGGGCACTTTGGAACACATAACAAACATCCCTGTTCTAACAGACTAAACAGGAGAAGACAGACATTAGGACCATAAGATAGATGTAAATATTGGAAAATAGACTATATTTTCACTCAGACGATATGACAAGCACAAAGAAATTACTGTTACAACTGAAGCTAGCAAGAGTTAGGTAAGGTAACCAGTTACAAAATCTACCTAGAAAATTAGTATCTTCACTGTTCACTTCCCATCTGGCCCCTGCCTGTGGCCGGGGAAAGTAGCGCAGGACAGCCCAAAGCCTTGGGACCATGCACCCATATGGAAGACCCCGAAGAAGCTCCTGGCTCCTGGCTTCAGCCTGGCTCAGTTCCAGACACTGCAGACATTTGGGGAGTGAACTAACAGATGGAAGCTCTCTCTCTCTCTCTCTGTGTAAATCTGCCTTTCCAATAAAATAAATAAATCTTAAAAAGAGAGAATACAAGTACCTTTAGAAAAAGCATATATATAGGGGGATTAACCAAAACACCCACAAGTGTATTTGGGTAGTCAGATAATTTGTGACTTTTTTCCTCCCTTTATTTTCATAAGTATTCATGATCAGAATATTCTCTGTACTTGGAGACATTTTCCAGGATTTTCGGAATACAGAATACAAGTAAAGCATTTTCCTAGTTCAAGTATGACACTAACTCAAATGGACCAGGGCAGATCAGCAAATTACCTCACAGAGAGCAAGTGGGTCTCTCCTCTGCATAAGGTAACTGAAACCCAACAGCAACCAAAGCAAGACTGCTCAGTCACTGACACAAAGCAGAAACCAGGAATGTGAGCATGGGCTGTGCTCACTAGCCTGTCAGGAAGAGGAGGCTTGGCGCCCAGCTTCCTGTTGATGCGCACCCGAGAGGCACTGGATGCTGACTCGCCCTCCTGCGGGACCTGGACCGAGTTCTCAACTCAGCTACAATCTTTGTGAGCATGGACAGCTGATGGCACTTCTCACTCTTTCTCTGTCTCAAACACACACAACAACAACAAATTCTAAAGAAAGGAAGACTTAACCTACACACTTTAAACACTTTGACTTCACTGGTAAGAGGACCACTATTGCAAAGGAAGACGAAGGATGCCCATTTTTGGCTACGCCATTAAATGTTTACTTCTTGCAACTTTGTATGAGAATGGGTGTGCACTGTGTTCACACAACCTGATCCGGTCACCTCCAGAACAAAACTGAGCTTTCATTCAGTGAGGAAAACCCAGCTCACTTGACAATTCTCTTCATCATTAATGAGTGAAATTCTGATATATATGCATATATAATACATATGTACACGTGTGAATATATGTGTACATTCTGATAAAAGCATATGAGTGCTTATAAATAAGATGTCTTGTTAATAATATAATATTTACAATCAATTCACATGATAGAATCAGTCCTTTTACATTATTTGATGCAAGTCCCTGCTGGGCAGATAGCTCATTTCTTCCACTTGAATCAGAAAACCCAAGGGTCAACTCTGGTTTGAGAACTGGACAGCCTAAAGATAACTCCCCACACAGCCTTCTGAAATGCATCCCGCCAGCTGCCCCGTGGATGCAATCTTACTGAAGTAGCTTCTGTGGTGTTATTTGTTAAATTTACACAATTGCTATCATTATTTAAATTTTAATTTATAAATTTGCAAAGATAGCTTTCCTTTCTGAGACTATTTTGATAACCTTTAAAATGGTGCTCAAAAGCATTTAATTCACAAGTGATGCAACCTGTTCTTGAAATGATTGCTTAAGATTTGCATACACTTAACTGACAAATCATAACACTCAATAAATTATGAATGAAGAACTGTAGTGTTACTGACTAGGACTCAATGCTTTTTGCAAAATCACAGCACACTGCTCTAAGTACATTTTTCTCCTAATCTCCAAAGGTAAACTAGTAAAAAAAAAACCCTTTAATCTCATCAAGAAATGATAAGAATGCAATATATTTAATATTTATCAAGTGATGTTTGAAACTAGAAATATTTCATTAACTCACAGTAAATGATTTAAGCAAATACATCCATCCATGCTCATAAACCCCCTAAAAAATAATTATTTTAAGGTAGCATATAGCAATTTATAAACTAGAAGGAAAAAAAGTTGAGCAAAAATCTACTATCTGAAGCCCACACACTGCCCTGTGGATCTCATGGTTGTCTGTTTCTTTTAATGAACCTTAAAACTGTGGTTAAGTTTAAGAAAACCCTAAGCATTGTGTGAACCTAGAGACTGAAACTTTGAACACTTAATAGTTCACCACTGAAACAAAAATTATGACTTTGACTAGGCTCAATATAGAATGCATAAATACCATAAAAGTGAATGGGTAAACAAAACAAAGTAATTGCATTTAGGACCTGCATTTCATTGTTTGCTCTCTAATTTGATTATGTTTCTGACAGAAGTGCCCAGCAGGGTTTAAGTGTTATCAGCAAATTTGAGACTTGCTGAAGACCAGCCTTATCAGATATACGTGTGAAGCATTTTTAATCCCCTTTTAATAATAAACTTCAGAATAAAAGGAATGTAATCTCTTACAAGAATGAAGCTACATAATTTGAAAAGTCGCCAACCAACAAATTTTCAATGTAAATTCTCTTAGGCCTACTTCATAAAAATCCTAAATCAAAATAATGGATAAACTTTGGGGATATAACACAAAATGAAGTAAGTAATGAAAAAACACAAGTACCATGTGAATCCACGCAGATGAGTTACTTCCAGTGGTCAAGTTCATGGAGATGCTAAACAGAGGGTGGTTGTTGGGAGCTGGCAGGGAACAGTGGGGACCGGGGGCAGTTCTGGAACTGACTGTACAACATACAAGTTCTTAACCATACTGAACCAGGCATTTAGAAATGCTCAAGATGATAACTTCAATGTTCCTTCTATTTTATCACCATCTTAAAAAAAAAATCAAGAATTTTTCAGAAATAAAATTTCATGTCTCTGGGGCTTTGTTCTTAAGTTTGCTCATTAATTTTAATATATAATAATAAATAAACGTGCAGAGTACATTTGAAAAAAAACCATCATTTCAAGACATATGGGAGAAAAATAAAGAAAGCCAAGTTAATTAAGTCAATACACCATGTCACTTGGTATATGCACAGACGCTCTGAGCCGCCCTGCTTCTGGCCATGACTGCTAGCTGGGGAGCAAGGTGGTGAGCACAAAGGAGCACCGGGATGCCATGCTTGGGGTTTAGAAAAAACGCCGACTACCAAAAACTCAGGTGTGAAGTTCAGCAGACTCCGGGAGCGATGGAGAGGTGGCCATAGGCTTTGCCACTCACTCAGATGGTGTGGAAAGATGAAATAAGGCAAAAAATGCAGAGATACCGAAGAATATATATTTTAAACGAATATGATATAATCAGCATGATGAGGGTTTTAAGAAAAGCAATGTGAATCCATCAGAAAGAAGACCAGAAGAAAAGGTATCCTAAGATCAGCTTAAATTTACACCCAGAATGAAGTGACACTGAAAAACTTGATTCTGTCTAAATTAGAAATAAGCAGTTCCTACACTGTAAAGCGAGTCATCCAAATATTGCTGGTATATTGCTATATATATATTTCAAAGTATAATCAAGAGAGGAAGTGGGATAACAGAAGGGACAGGCTCTTGGATTCTTCTCTAAGAACAGGGTACAAAACAACCTGGTACTGACTGTACAAAATCTGATTTCAATAAAGTATGACATTGTTTGGGGTGTCTGAATGTTCTCTCTGTGCAACAAAAAAGCAAGAGAAGGAAGTCGGACACCTATGGGAAATTATTTTATCAAGAAACTGTAAACGATAGAATCACAGAACTGAGATCTCAAACAAAAACACGCACAAACACACACACACAAACACATACAGAAAACTATAGCAAGCAAGTTGGCTTGACGTTTAACACTGGACAAATCCCCAAAAATAGGTTGTTTAATTCAAGATAAAGCTAGGAACATTTCCAATTAAAAATAAAGTGTAGAGAACACGCGTAGAGTGTCGCAAAGATCTTCTGTATGCTGGTTCACTGAGAGTCTGGCTGCTGACTGTGGCTGGTCCCAGGGTTATCTTCTTCCTCCCCTCTGGTTTCCTAAGAAAGGAACCTAGACAGGTAGATGTAGACAGGGGGTTCTGACTGTGTTCAGGCATTGATACAACAAGCATGCTTATTAAGCAGAAGCAGGGGCCTCCAAACTTTTCTAGATAGTACATCTCAGCAGCCCAGCAGCAACGAGTACACAGAGTGAACCATGAAACGCACATCTGTTTCAAAACTGCTCTTAGCTTAAACCTTATATATAAATCAAGTCAGCCCTCGAATCTCAGTTTCAACTAATAAAGTTTTACATGGCAGGAAAAAAAAAATAATGCCCTCCACCGAAAGCAGAAATAAAAATGCCTTTCCTACCTTCGAAGTTCTCCATTCCCATCCGTCGCCTATCTGCTGTGAATGCTTGATGAACTCTGCACAGCAATGCTGGAATGCTCTTTCCCCAAAGAACTCATCTTGTTCCATGTCAAAGGGTAACTGCAGGATAAAAACAGTATTAGCTTCAGCTCTAGGATGAATATTGAAAGGAATTCTGATGGGCTTACTGCTTTAAACATATGGACAATAACCTCAGTACCATTTCATAAAGTATTTTGTTTCTTTCTTACGAAACCATCCTTTTAAAAATCACATAACAGGAAATATGTGATCAACATGAAGACCCCAAAACTACATCTGTAATAAATATGGGTGTCTTTCTAATGACATTCAATACACTATGAATCTTTATCATTACACTTTAGTATGATCTGCGTTTAGTGGAAAGTTGAGCTCACCATAAACTAACTCCAGGTGCTTACTTGTCCTACACTTCCAGTTCGGGAGCAATCGCCTTGCTTCTCCCCGTCGGCTCCTGCACTGACACGGTCACTGCGACTGCTGAAGCTAAGCTCTTCTTGCCACTTGAACACAAGGTTCAGCTCACCAGCCAATGATGGTCCAAAACCCAAAACTGGTTTTTTTTTGGGGGGGGGTATAACCTGAGGATCACCTAATTACTTATTTTTATCACATCTACAAATGTGATATCTCAAGAAATACTAATTTATTTGTTACAAAAGTCTGTCCAAACCATAAAGCATTCCTTATGAGAATTTTGGAGCAAGAGGGAGGCACAGATCAGGTGGTCTGAGTGTCAGGTGAGTCCCTACGCTCTCCTTGTTAGTGACAAACACCATCAGGACGACTCTGTGTAGGATGCGACATGCTCCGCTAATCCTTGCACATCCAAAGGGGAGTGCCACCTCCACTGTTGAGGTGAACAAGAGAACACAAGTAGGAAATGGCTCCAGCCTCTACCTGGTGCCAAGACAACGACTCGTGCGGCTGAGCCGAGTCCTAGATCTAGACATTGTTTGGCATAACCAACAGAAGAATCTGCTCATTGTTCTTACAAACATAGCGATTATCCACTAAGTAGTGAATACTGTGCAAAAGGATCAGAAACTACATAAGCCCTGCTTGTGTGAGAGCCCCACCCTAAACAGGGGAGAGAAGTGAGGAGAGTCAGCACTGGAGAGCTGTGGTACGTAGCCTCCCTCCAACGGCTTTCCAGATAAAGCAGGCCAGCGTCCACTTCCTCGCTCAGACACTCGTCACGCAGCACCTTGCTTCCAGCAGCTGAGTGCCTTCTATCATAAACACACACATTAATTAAACATTAGACAAACCACACCATAGGATATAAGTGAAAAAGAAAGACAGCTGTTATTTTTGTGATTGAACGCCTTGTAAAAGGCTCAATAAAGGTCTTTATAAAAAACAAAAACAAAAACAAATTATGAGAGAAGTAGGTAAGGACAGTGCAACTAAAAAGATTTAAGGGGAATCAAACAAATCCAGGATTCTATTCTCACGCTGCTGCAGAAGCAGCTTGCATTTTTTCCTTTCATTTAAACTAAAACTAGAAATCTAGAGGGTGCATTCTGGTTGCAGCTTAATCAAGAATGAACAATGAACCCCAATCAAGTATCACACTCAAAAGAAAATGCCTTGGTCATCACTTAAAAATTGGAAAATGAGTATATTTAAGTTGAATTAGAATATTTACAGCATGCATTATTTTTAACTCTAGCCTCACCATATCTATCTAGTTCTGATGGCACTGGAAAACAAAACTTTGAGATGGCATGAGTACCTTCTCCCAGGGAGGAGATGAAGGCGAGCAGGAGTGCTGGCTTGGCAAAGCGTCAGCGGGTCAGGTTAGGCACAGCACAGCTCTCCAAGCAGGGAGGACAGCACAAATCAACAAGACCAGGAAAGCAACAGACAACACCAGAATGTGAGGCAAGAAATAAGCAGATGTGAGCACAGCAAATTCAAATTCAAGTCAATCCCATCTGCCCTCAGGAGAAAGGGATGGGAAGAGTGTCAAAGACACAACAGAGAAGAACACTGGAGTTCCCCAGACAGGCCTGTGTGTCCCTTGCAAGCGGGTGGGACTGGAGAGTGAGGGGTCTGCTAGGATCCGGATCTGAAGGCCGGTAGCAGCCTGAGGCGGGCAGTAGAGGTGGAAGGGGGACTGAGCCCAGGCAATGGAAAGAGCAGAACTCTGTCTGGAGTTAGAGGGGAGGAGCAAGATCCACTAAGACATTTAGAATTCATCTTCACAGACAGAACCACAATCACAAAGCAGCCTATCCTCTAGCTAGAACACACAGAACAGACTTGGGGTGCTTCCCACTGGCTCCCAACACTTGACGTTCCACTTCGTCTGTATTTTTTAACGGGAAAAATATCTGTAATTCTCAGTTTTTGGATTGATTAAAGGTGCTGAAGGAAAGTGAAGGACCTGTGCGCACAAGGCGAAGGGCCAGAGGGCTGAGAGACCCTCGGAGCAGCAGCATCTAAGCACCTGCACGAGAGGAGTCAGTAAGAGATCAGAAGACAGCGTCCGCCTGAGGAGAAGTTCTGTGAAGGGGGTGCTACAGCAGCCAGGTTTGGGGTTTCAACACAGCAGAGAAGAACCAACAAACACCCAACAGTATCACAAGTGGCTCGCTATGGAAAGAGCTGAAAATATCCACAAATTTGACAAAGAAGGGAGTGTTAGCAGCATGGAGAAAAAAGTTAGATTGCAGAGAGCTAAGCAGAAAATTCAGAGCAAGAAAATGGAAGAAATATTGTGTACCACATATTCAAAAAGTCTGGTTGCAAGTAGATATAATAGATACAAACCAGTAACAAAAGTGGCATGCCAGGTTAAGGCAGTATGCTGGCACTGTGGCATAGTAAGTAAAGATACCGTCTCTGGTGGCAGCATCCCACATGGGCACTGGTTCAAATCTCAGCTGTTCTACTTCCTATCTAGCTCCCTGCTAATGCATCTGGCAAAGTAGCAAAGGATGGTCCAAGTGCTTGGGCCTCTACACCGTGCAGGAGACCCAGAGGAAGCACCTGGCTCCTGGCCTCAGCCTGGCCCAGACCTGGCCATTCTGGCCAAATCAGGAGGGTGGAGGTGTGAGTCAGTGGATACAAGATCTCCCTATCCTTCCTCTCCCTGTAACTCTCTTTCAAATAAACATTTAAAAAGAGAGAGAGAGCTCTGATACAGTCAAGTGCCGTGTACTGATCAGTGATGGACCACATACATAATGGTGGTCCTGTAAGGTTGTAACAGAACTGAAAAGCGCTTATTGCCTGTGATGTCACAGCCACTGTAACGCCATATGGCATGTGTTGCTCATTTGTTCGTGGGGATGCTGATGCCCCCACGCCTACCACACTGCCGGCTGTGCAAAAGCACAGCACATGCACTTACATCCAGTACACAATGCTGGATAATGACTGTTAACAGCTATGCTACTGGTTTACAAGCTAACTGTATTATACCTTCTACCATTAGAGGGTACTTCTCTAGAAAAAAAAAAAAAAAAAGAGGGGCCAGTGTGGTGGCCTAGCCACTGAAGTGGATCCCATATAGGGGCCAGTTCATGTCCTAGCAGCCCTGCTTCCCATCCAGTTCCCTGCCTGTGGCCTGGGAAAGCAGTCGAGGACAACCCAAAGCCTTGGGATTCTGCACCCACATGGGAGACCCAGAGGAAGTTTCTGGCTCCCGGCTTCAGATCAGCGCAGCACAAACCATTATGGTCACTTGGGAAATGAATCATTGGACGGAAGATCTTCCTTTCTGTCTCTCCTTCTCTGTATATCTGACTTTGTAATAAAAATAAGTAAATCTTTCTAAAAAAATTTTTTTTAAATAAAAAGAAAGAAGGAAAGAAAGGAAGAAGCAAGGTGGCTGTCACCTGGTCTCAGGCAGCTCCTTCAGGTACACAGAAGGCAGCATTAACACGGGTGATGGCGGCTCTGTGTGCTGCTGCCCCTGACCACCTTCCAGTGGGGCAGAGGAGCAGACAGTGACACAGGGGACAACGGGGCAAGATTCAAGAGGGTGACAGTAACAGGGGAGGCTGATCCTAGGCATGCCTGGCCTAATGTGTGTTTGCATCTTAGCTTTCAACAATGAACCTGAAAAAGTAAAAATTTCAAATGCTTGTAAGAATAACAAAAATAAATATTTGTACAGTTCTGCAATGTGCTTGTGTTTTAAGCTTTTATTACAACAGACCAAAAGAAAGTCTTATGACCGCCAATTCTGCAAGTTCTGTTTATGTGAAGTGCCCTATTCTGCTTTCCTTTTTTTCCTGTCTTCTTACCATATTTTCCATAAGTTATGTTTATATAAGCATTTTCTTATCATTGTATGACAACTGCCTTACAGCAGTTGCTCCAGTACCCTGGTGAACAGCCCACAGTGCAGGAACAAAGGATTTTACATAGTTCTACCATCCAGGTGCGCATTAAGACTGTTACTGGAGATATCCGGAATAGAGGTTCTTCTCTTCCCGTAAGAGAATGTCAGAAATGCGACAGACACAGTGAGCAAGCTAGAGAGGCTGCATGAAGAAACTACAGTTGACAGCCCATGTGAACACCTGAGCTGAGCACCAAGACCCAATCTGCACTCACACTGCAGTTTTATGGGTATAGGTCCATCATTCATCCTCCCCTTGCCCTAATCTCCAGGGATGCTGCTGTGCCCAGGGCTTCCTGGGGGGGGGGGGGGTGGAGTCAGTGACATTCCTCCTAGGGCTTTAGCAACAGTGTTACTGTACCAATCAACCCCTGGTGCAGGGCTGGGGAGAGTCACCTAGGTGTCCCCAGAGGCCATCTGGGGCCCACCTTCCAAGTTACTGGATACAAGTAAGACTTGTGGTATATGAATGCTGGACTGTGTCTAAGACACGTGTCTGTCTCTCCTCTCTCATTCAACCACACAACTTCCTGTTTTTGTTCTTGGCCCTTCTCAGACACTTAGACTAACGGCTACCTTTCCACCTAACAAGTACACTGCATGAGGTTGACATTGATCAAATCATTTCACAATACACTTCTCAGAACACGTTCCCATTATCAAAAGATGCAGGATTTTGGCAGGTACTTAAACTGGGCAATTTCCGTGAATGCTTAAACTG